TACTGACTAAAAACCACCCCGTTCCTTCTCCTGCACGTCGAGTCGGAGCCCCGGTTACCCGTTAGGTTCTCCGCGACTATTCCAGAGCATAAGCTACTCCTGTTCCAATAATCTTTCAGCCGTTTTGACGTCAATGTTTAACAAACGAACAAACAAACACACACTTTGACATTTATTATATTAGCAGGATATAGTTTTTTGTTGCGATTAATAAATATTTTCCCAACGCAAAGCAACTTATCATAAATACCTAGTTACTTATATTTCAAATAACGACACAAACCCTAAACATATTTCTTAAAATATTATTATTATTGTATTTATAATATTAGACGGATATTATTTATTTCTAAAATATTTTCTGATTTATGCTTTTCTAAATATTTGATTACAAAAAAAAAACATTTAAAAATATAAGCAGTATAGCCCACCAGTAACGGGAGAAATCCAAGATACCGGTGGCGGTCAGGATTCCAGGGAGAAGAACTTCCGGAAAAACGCGCCGTGTCCAGAAGTACTGCTTTCTGCATCGAGCCCTTGACCCAACCATCTATCGATAGCCTAGTCAGGCGGATAATCAGTAGGATTATCAACATGACAAACTCTTTACTTTAACGATCAAGTAAACTCTCAATTAAAATATATGTAAATAAGGGAACTATATGTATATATATAAATCGTGACATTAAAATAAAGATACCTACTTAAAATTTTTATGTTTCGTTTATGCTATGAAAGTAAACATAAACGAGTAATGAACTCACGTATCTTTTCGATATCATCGTTAACAACTTCATTCCGTAAAACCAGTCTATTCCTTCCTTTTATTTCATTAAAACATGGACATCGTGCAACCAACAAAATGTGTACGGTTGTAACCATAGGTACAACTTTATAATGAACTTGTGTTCCTAAAAGTATCAAAAATGCATTAAAAGAACTAGAAGTTTCATTAATATGCTTGATGATATAATTTTCTGCTAAAAACGTAACAAGAGTCCTTACGCCATCGACAGTGCCGCACCATGGAAATTGCACTAAAGTCGGCGTCCACGGACTAACTAAGCAATTATTATTTAAATCGTCGAGTTACGCACTCAAACAAGAGATGAACAGTTGCAATACAAATATATCTACATTTTTTTAAAGCAACCAATTGTGTAACTTCAATACATGACGTAAATATGATAGTTTTCTGAATACGGTAATGAGCGCAGATTTTAATGGGTCGTTATTACGTGCGTTTACGTTACCTTATTTTGTGTGCATTAAAGTGTAAATAAATAAATAAAAAAAATACAACCTAGTATATCGACATGGAAACGAAATCATTAAAAAGTAATCTGAACTGAAATTTGTGGATTATGATCGATTTTTAGTTCACATTAGTTGTTCTACAACTACAAAAACTCCAAAGTTTGTGTCAAAATTCGGCGTGCTTTGCCTAATCCAACTAATATAAAAAATGCGAATATCCGTAAGTGTATGTGTCTATGTTTGTTACTCAATCATTTCTTTCATATCAATTTTCAAAACGGCTGACGATTTGATTGGGAATGCAGGCAAAGCCGCTGGCAAAAGCTAGTTGATATATAGTGATTCTTTGACCGTGCAATATTATTTTGTGCTTTATTTAGGATCCAATATATATGTATGATACATACCTTCAGAGGTAAAGGCTGTATGTTACCAAATGTTAATAAACATGTAGGTACCTATATTATACTCTGAATAACTGGTACATGACAAGAGGCTAACATCCTTAGGACGGAAAAGTGTTCTACAGTCGGTGGCATGTGGGCTGGGTCGTTCGGTTCCCTACGAAATGGTTGATCGGACCGATTGCTGGCCTACACGTCATTCCCGGGAACGGGTGCCTTCTGCTGGAGCAGGTCGGTTCGCTCATCGTGCTGGTGGGCTGATCCAGTAGGGTTAGTGTAAGATAATGAGATTATAATAATTAGGTAACAACATCAAGTACCTACTTTGTGTAGTGATATTAGTGGTTAGGGTAGCATGTTACATCTTTATAACAATTATTTTACCAGGAGAACAATGTAACTGTAATATGACAAGGGCACAGACACAAGTCCGTTGAGAAATACAATTTATTATTAATAAATAAATAAAAAAGAAGTAACATCCTTAGGACATAGTACATAAATGATGGAAAAGCAAGTGTTACATTGTAAGTGCATCTCGACTCGACTTCTCTTCGGAGATTAAAAGATAAGACATTGTTTACTTACTTTTTCTACATTTCACTTTTTTAATGATTGTCGAAGTGACGGGGTATGCAAGTGATGGTGTCGATGTTGACTCGGCTGCAACATCAGTAGCTGTCACTGTGGTGTCAGGTTCATCTGGAAAAAGTAATTAAAATGATAATCATAAACTCGTTTTGGTAGTGGATGCTATAATTAAGAATGAAACATGGTATAGTATATGGACTGAGTCGATTCGATAGTGTTTAATTATCGTCTGAGTCGTAAATTAAATTACTTAATTGCACTGTAATAAATGTGTTAACTTCCTTTGTAGAATACCTAACTTATTATTCTGATACAACGATTAGCACTAAATAAAAAATGGCAACAAGAAAAGGATACATTTTTTAAATAAAATTGTTTGTTTGTAAACTGTTTAACTCTTCTAAGATTAAATTTAAACAAAAAATGTAAAAAAAATGTAAAAATCAACAAATAGATTTTGGTAAATGTATACTTGATATGTCTAATAGTAAAAACGTATTAACTTACCATTACATAAAACCACGATCAACATATGAGTCACTAAAGCAACACAGAACCACAATCTGACCGCCATCGTGGCTTCACCACTTCTGATACAAAACGGTACAAAATTTATTTATATACAACATAGCTATATAGCTGTATATAGCTGTGTATATATAAAACCCAGGTGTTTTATTGTATGAAAACAATACAGTCGTGACCAAAGGATAGATGTTAATAGACATTTTTTTGATAACTTTTTTGATTTTATGATTTATAAATTTTTAGATAATCAACCCTAAGGTTGACTGGTAGAGAATGCCATATGGCATTAAGTTCGCCTTATGTGCCATAATAAAATTTTGTACATAAAAGAATAAAAAAATAAATAAAATAATAAGGCATTATTTTTTTTTTTTTAAATGGACGAAATAGTATTTTTAGTTGAAAATTGGGTACTTTTGAGCACTTTTCTGGATGCTTATTGGTTTTGGTAACACTTGTTAGGGATTTTTCTTTTTTTTTGAGGGAACAAGTCATCCAAAGACGTCTCGTGCCCTGGCTGAGGCGAGTAAATGTCAGACTTTTACTGACTAAAAACCTCCCCGTTCCTACTCGTTCAACCCCGGTAACCTGTTGGCCTGCATCTTTGGATTTTTTTTTAAAGGGGGAAAATCATCGAATTATTTCTCCCGCCTGGGTGAGGTGGGAGGGAGTGTAAGACTCTTACTAACTCTAAGACACCCTGTTCCTACTCCTGCCCTTCGAGCCGGAGCCCCGATAACCCGTTAAGTCCTCCGCAGTTCCGTATCGGCATCAGCCCTATCGGGTGGTCTGATGGCTCTCCGGATTAGGGCTTATTCTAGAATTCTTTATTAATCACATAAGTCTAGAAAAGTGAGTAGATAGGGTTAGGACATTAGGGGGATGGACCGTAATTCATAACATTACGCCTTGTATCCCCGAGGGGGCAGCCAGAGGCGCAATTACGGCACTTAATGCTACTGTACAATGTAACACTTACTTTTCACTATTTATTGAATACAATACATTTTTTAATTTCCTTATTTTGTTACATCTTATTATATGAATATTACCATGTATTGAAACAATACCCTGGGTATTTTTGCTTTTGTGAATTAATTATTTTTGTGTTCACAACTTGTCACATTTTCAAAAAGGCCCTTCCAGTACCCACTTGAAGGAAAACAATAATCCAACAAGTGATCCTCATGAATATACAATCATTATTTGTATTATCTGTTACCGTAGTAATACAGCCAGCCAAATTACTCGAATCAGACCAAACTTTTTAATTGAATACAAACTTTAACAGTATAGTAACAAAATCGAAAATTTATTGAAGATAATTTCTACATAGAGTAGGTTGATGTGCAATACTTTAGCACTATACAATCACGGGTTAATTACACGTGAATTTTATTTGGAGTACGCACGTGTAAGGATGTATCATTGCGTGACGTCACAACTGTCGATGACGTCACGTTGTACGTATGATACAATACCCACAAACGTACGTTTGTTAGAGAATCTCCGCGTTGTTGATCGAGTTGTCAAGCGGGACTGCTAAGATGGAGGAGGTGGTTTCGATTCTAGAGTCGGATATTAATATCGTTGAGGTTATCGGTAGTAGAGAAAAATAGTAATGTAAAGATTGGAGTTTAAACGATAATTAATGTTTTTTTTTTATTTGGTAAGGATTTTTATTATTAAAGTTTGGCAAAATGTATGTATTATTACATTCTGTAATTTTGTTATTACTTGAGTTGAGGTGATACAAATTAAAAAAACAGACTTGTCATAATTTACTAAGAATTAAATGTATTTATTTTGTAGTTTTTAACATAATAAAGCAATGCAGTTGACACTAACAAATATGTTAAGTTATTTAATTTAAATACAACATGTAACTTAAATAACGCACATCCTGCAAATAGTTTGTTCAGAATCGTTAACTGAATCGATTTATATGATATTTAGTATAGGTAATTTTTTATCCCAAAAATAATTAAAACTACGGAAACTATTATCATATTAACCCTGTATTGTCAAAACAAATCGAAATGGACCGTAAGTCAAAGCAATAAGTCTTTTAAAATCGCAGTTTTAGTTGTATTCATACAAATTCTATCATTCAATACAAAATAAAGAAAAATAAACCTTATGACAAGACCAGTAAGGATGCATGTTACATTAAATTTTAATAATAATACATGTTAAATTAAAAATTTAGTGTATGTATTATGATTATAACATAATATTCTAATTGCGGTTTTGAGGGTGTGCGTTAATTACGTTATATGTTGCATAATCATTTACTTGTATTAATTTCTTAAATATTAATTATTTTCCGAAGAATACGGGTGGTAGAGATGTTACAGGTACCACTGAAATTAGAAAAAACATTATTAGAATCTTTAACTATTGACCTAGTTATCTACAGATGGTTAATGATTTTCAACTCTATTGCGTAAGGATTATATTTTAAAATTGGTAAAAAGAAAATATTAGGGCAACCTGGTGTGCGTCGGTGCTTCGAATTTTAAATATAAAAAATAATACACTCAAGATAAATAGGCAAATAACTGCGTGCATTTATGAAATGGGGTATGAGTATTTTTACATATCAAATTTTGTACAAAACTCATAGAAATCTTTCAAAGTCAAAATCAAAATCATTTAATATATAGATATCAATTAAACCAGGAAGGCACTTTTGAAAGTTAAACAACATATTATTAAAGATCGTCCCATTTCGTTTTTGACAACTCGGAATAAGTATTGAATTTGAATAATTTGAAAATATCTAATAAATTGTTATTGAAAATGAGCACTTACGACATTCTTTATAAGGTACACATTCGCCATCTTTCCTCCAATAACCTTTGATGCATCGGCAGGTTGGTTGACATTCCGCCACTAATATCAGGCCATTGATGAGGCATATCCCCTCAGGAGACGCTTGGTCACAATCATCCTTTGGACAATACGGCGGACAAGCCACAAACTCTTCATTCGGACGGTCACATTTAAATGGAGCTGTAAGACGAAAAAGAAGATCAATACGAGAACGGATGACTCGCCAACCGACCAGAACCAGATCCGAACGTACGGCGCGTCGCGTCCCGCGCGCATCTCCAAGAGCCATCAGACCACCACAGATGGGGCCCAATAGGGCTGATGCCGATACGGAACCGCGAAAGAAATAACGGGTTACCAGGGCTCCGGCTCGAAGTGCAGGAATAGGAACAAGGTGATTTTTAGTAAGAAGAGTCAGACTCTTGCCTCACCCGGGTGAGAGAAGTCATTAGATGATTTGTCCCCCTTAAAAAAAGAACCGTGGTGTCGACTGAAAAGTAGTATTTTAGTTATTATATGACCTAGGCGAGTACCTTGGTAGCAAGGTTACACAGAGGGGCAGTGATGCTTCAAGACGCGCGGGCTTATAGAGTGACGGCGGCGCCAAAGAAATTAGGGTCGCCTAGGAGGTTCTTGTCTAGGGCGCTCTCTAGGTTTCATCCACTTTTGATTATTATTCAATGTAAGTAATGTTAGACACTAGGTCATGTCAAGGGAAGTTTGGAACAAACCAAGGGTCTGTAGCTAAATGCCATTTATCGCTTGTCTACAAATAGAATAGTGTAGTGTGTAGTGTATATCCTATAGTTCTAAGTTTGCATATATCAATGTATCTTACTCGTGTATTTAAATATCAACCTTTATTAATAAAGAGTCAGTATTCAATCAGCAGTCAGAGTGTTTTACTCATACCAATCCTTACAATAGATAGAAAACTAAAGTATATGGAATTGACGTAAATTTTTACATTTGTCAGTCTCTGAACTAGATTTTCAGGTCTTCTTACTAGATTTAACTAGAAATCTAGAAGGCTTCTTATGCTACTTTTTCTGCAGTCAGAAGAAGATTCCTATCTAGTCTAGTCAAAACAAAAATTATAAATAAATACTTGAAAATTTACTTACGACAATATCTAGTATCAATGCAAGTCCCATTGTCTGCTCGTTTCGTGTTGAACCGACATTTGCACCTCGGTGTACCGCAACCTTCCAAATTGCACTCGTATAAATAATCCTCCTTCTTTGGACATTTATCATTCATACAGTTTGAAGGGCAGTAGTCTTCTTCTTCGCTTTTTGGACAATGTAGATCTGTAATGCATTAAATACATCAAATAAATTTAACGTAAGTAATCAGCTGTTTAACTGGCTAACAGTGTTGTTCTAAACTATAACTTATTTAGGTACAAAATTTCTTCGCGGTCAGATCAGTCGTTTTTGTTGGAAATAGTCATAAATATACATACAACTGTATAATTGTATATGGCAAAATAAATTTTTCACATCGGTCTATTCATCACGGAGGAATTTAGTTTGTTTGAATAGAACTACTGCAGTAGGTAATATGACAAAATCGTTTTATTTTATTGAATTCTTATTGTCATGCTAATTAAAGCAAATTGAACCTTAAGAACATTACCAGTGGCTAGTAACTTGCTTATCGTGATACAATGAAATACTACGTTATTAAGACAATCGATGGGAATTAGGACAATGCTAGGAAAAAAATGTGTGAAATAAAACTATTTGGCGGATGTATATTTTAAACAAGGATATTTATGATGATTATAGAATTATTATAAGTTATTTCAACTATTATTATATTTTAATACTTCCGCGCGGTTTCACTCGCTCTGCTCGGCGCCTATTAATCGTAGCGTGATATTTTATAAATGGAAGCCCTCGATAATAGGGCAATTCAATCCAAAGAATTTTCCAAATCGGACCAGTATTTTCGGAGATTAGCGCGTTCAAACAAAAAAACAAACTTTTCAGCTTTATAATATTAGTATAGATTGGCTGCGAAACGATAAGGATTAAAATGTACAATACACAGTTTGGGATAGTAATGTTTTGCGAGTCAAATAGACTCCCGAGTCTCGCACTCTAACATCCACATGAGAGAGTCCCGTCTCTCATGTGGACGTTAGATAAGGACCAGGGTGGTATTTAGTCAGTAAGAGTCGGACAGACTTCTTTGTCTTCCTAAGACGAGTGAACTCTATAAAGATTTTCAACGTTGGGCAAAATAAAGTCTGATGACCAGGGGAGAGAGAGTCAAGAGGCTGGTGACGTTTAAACCTATATCTCTCTACTATCGGTAGCACCAAGACATATGCGGGAACCGTACGGTCCATGGCCCTCTACGGCACCCTTGTTAGGGCGCCGAATCTGATATGGCGACCAGCTCGAGCGCTGCTCACGTCCCAGGGGGTCGTGGCTGTTCGAATGATTCATGGATATCGCACGATCTCTGTGGAGGCGGCGAACTTACTTGCGGGAACCACTGCCTCCGTGGTACCTGGAGGGGTAGGGGCTAGCTTGTGCTCTGGAGGGGTAGGTTGAGTTTGCACCCTGAGGCTCGCAGTCATTGCAGCGGAGTTTGAGCTGTCATGGCAGAGGAGTATTGTTCTCTCCTTGAGGAGCGGCTTGAGAGACGCTACGGCGTTCTTACCTACCACCATGACATCCATCCGGTGTTTACTCAGGCATGCACGCAGCTAGCCGCCCACCACCAGAACCAGAACCAGACCCGAGTGTAAAGCACATCGTGTTTCGCACCCGCCTCAAAGAGTCATCAAACCACCACAGATGGGGCCCAGTAGGGTTGATGCCGATACGGAGCCGCGGAGAACTTAACGGGTTGCGGGGGTTCCGGCTCGAATAGCAAGAGTAGGAACGGGTTGGTTTTTAGTCAATAAGATTTTGATACTCCCTCTCGCCTCACCAAAGGCGGAAGAAGTCATTGGATGACTTTCCCACCTTAAAAAAAACACCGAGGCATATGAATCTTTTGACGATAAAAAGTCAAAATCATATGCCTTAATGTTTGCGTCACTTTCTACGAATTTCTATAAAAAGCAGTTACTATTATAAAATTTATTGACAACTAAATGTATCGTATACTTCACAAGAGAATACACAATAAATGACTTACCTACTTTCTTATCATCATCATCATCATAAGCACTATTACAACGAACCGTGATAAACACGAGAAATAGAAAAACAAACACTATACGCGTCATTTCTGAACGACGGCCTTCACGACTATGATGTAGTTAATGACTAGACATAAACATTATTATTTAATACATCTTCTTCTGTCCCTAATTGGTACTTGATAATAACTTAGGTAATAGTATCCACTCATATTATCTTGAGTTTCACGCCATCTGTTGTACATTTGAGAAACTAGCTGAGTGAGGTAGTACATTTGAGGCTGGTTCGCGTACATGGACTAATAGGTCATGCTCGATGGTGTATGGATTTTTGTATTGTCTTAGAGATGGCTATAGTAGTTTGTTGTCCGAATAGTTCATACCTCTAGTATCCTGAAAAGGAGTCGAACTTTTGCTTTAATTTAACCCAATAATCCAAACTAGTTTTAAAACGTGTTAGCATCTTTCACAAATTTTGCGAGTTCAGTTATTAACTCGTTGAGTACCGGTTTTGTAGACACAATTATAGAACAATAGGTTGCGGTCACCGGTGACCGCTTGGTGTTTGACAGTTTAATAGTTATATTTTACAAGAAACATATTACTTGCCAAGTACTTGATAAGCGATTAATGTTTAATACATATCTTTTTACTGTAAACCAAAATATTGGTACCTACTTATTTTGGCAAAAAATACACGATACATGACAATAAATCACACCTCTTCAGCACAAACGTCAAAATAAAAACCAATGACCCATTGCAATTTGCAATGTTGGATTACATAGTAACTATTTTAACTGGAAGCGATTTTCGGCAGGTCCGTAATTAGGTTAACCGCACTAATCCTCTTGCCGGACTTTTGAGAGTCCGGGATCCGGGATACTCGGCACCCGGACATTGGACACTTGACTTATCTGTTATGAAACCGCCAATTTATTACGGATTATTTGTGACCTTTATTGTGGAAGGGACTGTTTACTAAGGAGATCTATTTTGTTGCCAAGTGGTTGCTATGTTCATACGTGAACGGCATGTAGGGTTTTCGAATTTAAAACATTGAATTCTGACTAGAATATCTGTTATTATTATGATATACTAAAGTACTTACAGAGGTAAACATGACAGCTAAAAAATAAAAAAAAATCTCCAAAGAAATTGCAAAGTTCCAGGCAGCGATTACATCTCAAGTATAAAGTATCAAAATATAATAGCGACCACAATGACTTTTAATCTCTGAATACTGCCCTGTAATTTGTCCTTCTCAGAGGTTGGATTTTTAATAAAAATGACAAATTGATGTTTCATCCTGAAGACGCGATGATAAAGCATTTTTTTAAATCCCTTAACTCTTTGCAGTGTGATAAGCGAATGATTTATTTTGTGTTCCGTTTATGAGGTAGGTATTTTGTATTCTGTAGACTTAGAAATGCTTTTAGAAAAATGATGTAATGGAGAAGACAGGAAATGTCGTGGAATAATAGCAGTTGATAAAGAAGTAAGAATGTTAACTACCAAATTAAATTTTTGGACTAGGAAAATTCCCATACTTAAATATTTCAGTTTTAATCTTCAGTATGATATTTTAATTAAAACTCTTTTAAATCACAAATTGTACAATATAAGTGTCCATGTCCAACTGACAATTGGGATGATGACAGGGTATGAAAATTAAAAATATAATTAGTCCGTAAGTTAGCTAATGAAAAATGTTAAACACGTATTTGTTTATTTTGTTGTATAATAAAACAATACTTAGATAAAACGAATCAAAGTTTAGGAGTGGGGGCTAAAACATCATTTCTACGTATAAAATGTACATAGAAGTGACGTCACGCGACTTTTAAAATCTGTATATCGTCGAAAGTATTCGTTTCTGTAAGAAAATAAAAAACACTTGTCCAATGATTTAAAATAATCTACCAGACCGTATTCGTAAGAATAGGTATCTACTTTTCCAGTTTTTCAGTGTTGAAAACTCTTGTTTTCGTTGCTATTTGTTTTCGCACCACCCAGTGTGAACTGGTTCAATTTATCTAAGTGCTCGCAAAGGTTTTATTGATAAAAAGCCGAGCGACTAAGCAGGGGAGGGTCCCGTACAAAATATGCTGATGAATTCAATGGAGTTCGAAGTAATATTGAATTATAGTGAGAGAGTGAGACCACTTCGTGCAGCCTGTTTTATTTATTATTACTAGAATTATATAGATTATTACCTTTTGCTGTTCAGAACTTATTAATGCATACCGGCGTATTTAACATAGTATATCACCATGGGTATCCAGAGATATAGGGAAAATATAGTGAGTCTTAGCAGATGTACACAGCTAAATAAATGAAGATTAATATGAAACTGATATAGTAATTATTGATATCCTAACGATAGGCAAACTGATCAGGAGGGCGGCTGATGAGAACGAGCAAGGGATTAAGGACTACAACCTGAAAATAGCCACCAAACACAGAGACGCGGCGGTTGTGGGTGCTCTTTTGTGCAGGAAATGTTCAATGGATTAAAAAAAATATAGATATCCTGAATTGTCTGCTTTTTAACAAGGCCAAATTTTTTGTAACCATCAATATTTTCATTGTTTTCACTCGTTAGCGGACTCGTCCGGCGAACAGCTGTAAGTGTAAGCAGTTAGGTCTAATATCGAACTGAGGAGATTAAAAAAACTGCTAACACATTGTTCTACATCTCAGTAGTAAAATGTAATTCAGAAAAAAAATAGTACCTATATTTGTAAGGGTTACTTTGGAAACCCGAGGAATGCTAATAGAAACGTAGATAAACTACTTAGTAATTTCTTCAGGGACTAAATATATATTTGTTTGCTAAAGATGGTCTAACGACATTCAGATATTACGAGAGTTTTCGTCTACTTTTTTAGGAAATTGCCAAACTTTTGGGAGTCAAGCACTTAGTGTTTTTTATGGAAGTTTTTACTAGAATATTTTACTTAGGCTGGTATATTTAATGTCTATCAATTTGTTGTATAAGAAAACTTTATGTCCCTATAAAAATATTATTTTTTTAGGTACATTTTCTTTTCAATAGCGAAGATTGATGAAAAATATATTTTTCCTAATAAAAATACTTTCGAAGCAGAACCACAATGTTAGTTCTTTCTTTCTTTATTTAGTTACGAAATAGGGTAGATATATTGATTTAATTTTTAAGTGAGTTCTAGGGACGTTTTGTACGTTTAGACTGCACGGTGAACCTAACGGGTAACCGGGGCTCCGACTCGACGTGCAGGAGAAGGAATGGGGTGGTTTTTAGTCAATAAGAGTCTGACACTCCCTCCCGCCTCACCCAGGCGGGAGCAGTCATTCGATGATTTTCCCCCCTTAAAAAAAAAAGACTGCACGGTTGGCGCGGTTGCCGCGCAACGTGTCGCGGGTTCGATTTCCGCACGGAACAACTCTTTGTGTGATCCACAGATTGTTGTTCCGGGCCTGGGTGTCATGTGTATGTGATATTATATGTTTGTAAACGCAACCACGACACAGGAGAAAATCCTAGTGTGGGGGGGGGGGCAACGTTTTTAAAGAAATAAAAAATAAATAAATGATGTTGTAGCTTCCACCCCTAAACTTTGACTCGTTTTATCCAAATTGATTTATTATACGACAAACTAAAAAAAAATACATGTCTAATACTTTTTCATTACCTAACTGACGGACTATTTTAGACTTTTATTTTTCATACCCCGTCATCATTCCTATTGCTGTGTCTGCGCTTTGGTTACTCTATCTATAACGTTATCTCGTTAATATTTTTATTTTTAGATTTTTCCTACAATTTGCGTATTAAAGTAAGTTAATGATACAAGTTTGAACTGAATATAAGTTTAAAATTAAAAATATTATATTTCATTAATAATAGAAAATTGCCTTAAACTACTATTAACTGCCGATTTCAATCCGAAATCTGTGGATTTAGACAGAAAATAATGTCAAAAACCGATTCATCATCGTACCTATATAGAAATCGGCAGTTAATCTCCTAATTTTACTTTAAGGGGACCATTATTTCTATACATTTTTATATTATTTTTCATCAGCTAAGGAAGAATTTAAAAAGTACAAGTACAAGAAACACAGCTGTCATGTTATGAAAATAATAAAAGCCTATCGCTGCTTGTGTTGCGTACAATCGGGGTGCGGTCGACTTCACCCACAAGCCGAGGTGTCAAAGTTAGCATAGCAACTAACAAGCTACTTTGGAGACAAGAATGTCAACAAAACTCAAAGAAAATTTATTCTTTCGTATTGAGGAAACAATAAGCTATTGGAACTAGTCTCTTAAACATATAAATGTAATATTGGAGAACATTTATTTTCATCTTAGCAAGAATGTAATAGTCATTTAACTCGTCGAGTACCGGTTTTGTAGACACAATTATAGAACAATAGGTTGCGGTCACCGGTGACCGCTTGGTGTTTGACAGTTTAATAGCAGAAAAGTCAAACGATCTGTGTACCGATTTTTTATAATTAAACCCATAGTATCTCTCATACTGTAATTATTTTCTTTTTTATGGCATAAGCCGGTAAACGAGCAGACGGATCACCTGATGGTAAGCAATCGGCGTCGCCCATGGACACCTGGAACACCAGAGGCGTTATGAGTGCGTTACCGGCTTTTTGGGGATTAGGAGTTTGAGGATCGTTGGGGATTCAGGGATTGGGGAGATTGGGGAAGGGAAGGGGAAATGGGCTTTCTTTTTTTCTTAAAAAAGGAATGGATGATTTAGTTCGTGTACGATGACTTGCAAAAATCTTGCTTTAACTATTAGAACTATTGAACAAAACAAATACCTACACGTAGGACACTCACACTCTAGGACCAAACAGCATACACTCGCTACCTCTCACACCACGCCCTTACAGCTACTAAACTCAGAAGTCTCCGCTCACACTAAAATATACACGAAGGCAATTTCGTGGCCGTCTCTAAGGAATCGAAAGAAAACATTTGAGTTCTCTCTTATAACTTAGTGTACTTACTGTTACGATTCGTATGTGGTGCTAGTGAATGTCGGGTTTGCACTTGGGACTGTTACTTGGAATCTATACATATAATGAAAC